ATTCAGATGTGACAATGTTAATAGTTCAACTAAATCAAATTTACCACTAATTACACATTTTAAACAAATGTTCCCTGGGATCTATATATATATAACTCATGTCTAAACATCAGGCTGTAACCTGTGACAGGCTGTTATGATACATTCACATATATGGAGTTTTTTTCACGTAGGTTTCCATCACCAAAGGTTTGTGACAGAATCAGAGAGGAGAGGGAGAGACGCTGTGCTGCTGCCAGAGGAGCCGCTGAATGAGNTTCACGTAGGTTTCCATCACCAAAGGTTTGTGACAGAATCAGAGAGGAGAGGGAGAGACGCTGTGCTGCTGCCAGAGGAGCCGCTGAATGAGTTCTGTTGTTCCCATTGATCAGTGAGACACAGAAACACTGGACAACACAGTCCAGGTTGAAAAACATCTGAAACTACCCTTTAATCTAAAGCCAGTTCTGACCTTACCCCTCAAACCAAGTCTCAACAGCCGTGTATAGACATGATGAACACTCAGTCTCAAGGGCAGAGGGATTCAACTGGTCCTCACACAGACAGGAGTATAACTGCACACACACTACAGGGTGAGATTGCACCACTTGTGTGCTGACAGAGGTGTTTGACTAAAGAGAACACGGCAGAGAACAGTCTGAACAGAATAAAAACACATTATGAATGATTTAACGTCAGTGTTGTCTTCGTGCTGGGCGTTTCTCAGGGCTAAATGTTTCAACAACACGGGAGTCATATGAGACTGTTGGAGAAAGTTGGCCGCAGCTTCGCTGTAGGCGTGTTGAGCTGAGCTGAAGTGGAGTTCACTCAATTTAAAGTTTGTCTGAGAAACTCGCCTGACACAGTGAAGTTGAAGCCAAACACTTTGAGGCGATTCAACAGAGTGGACGTTTTGTACTCGTGGCAGAGCGACGATCTGCACATCAAGTTTATCAAAGTGTAATTCAGTGAAGATGGCGTTACCCCGAAACCTTCTGCTGAGAGTTTAAATATTAATCCAGTGTTAGGGGGGCGTAAATAATGATAATAAATATGTGAAAGTATGAGTTTACATTAGTGTCCTCATGATTTCTTATAGCTGCTCTGTTGTTTTATGAGTGAAGTTGCGTCATCAAATATGTCCGTGTGTCCTGAGGACGAGTTCATTGGTTGTTATTCAAGTCTCATGCAAACAAATCCACAAGACGTCACATCTGAATGTGTTGAATGAAGAGCTCTGACTCACTGTTGTCTTCTGCAGCTTTCTTCTCCACAGGGTCACAATTACTCAGGTATGGAAGATTATTAGTGCCAGGCATTTAGAGAAAATGAGAGGAGAGGAGGAGTTTTATTTTTGTTTGTTTGTTTTTAATGGCATTTCAAGAATAAAGTCTAATCTTCAGTATCACTGGCAGGCATTAGACAAAAATTTGAGCAAAGGTGGAAGATTTATTTGTTTATTTATTTGCATTACTAGAATAAGGTCTTAGTCTAAACCTTTAATATTAGTGCCAAGCATAAACAAAATATTAGGGGAGTAAGATTTTTTCTGTATTTCTTTTATTTACTTATGTTTGCATCACCAGAATAAATTCAAAATGTCAGTACTAGTGCCAAGCATAAGAGAAAATACAGTGGTGGAAAAAAGTTTTCGGACACCCTTAAAATTTTACACAATCTCAAATATTATCATGAAATATTTGTGGAAAAATCTTTTTTGTGTTTCAAAAGGTGTGGCTGCATTAGACAGATACAAACAAATACAAATTATATATTTTTGTTTATTGTTTACAAGAAAAACTAACAAAACTAAATTCTTGACAGTTTCAATATGTCAGTTCTCAACATTGTCGGTATCAAAGTCAACAAATAACAGAGAATGTGTTCAAAACTGAACAAAAAATAAATAAACCATCACATCATCAAATTAATATTTAGTAGTCCTGCCATTGGCACGTCGTAGAGCTCTAATCCTGGCTGGCATGTTCCCCATGAGCCTTTCACACTGTTGAGGGGTAATCTTGTCCCATTCTTCTTGAATTACTGCTTTTATTTCTTCTAAATTCTTTGGTTTATGCTTTGAAACAGACCTTTTGATAATCCACCACAGATTTTCAATGGGGCTCATGTCCGGGGATTGAGCTGGCCACTCTAAGACCTGGATACTGTGCTCCTGCAGCCAAGTTCTACTGGCCTTGGATGTGTGGCAAGGGGCATTATCTTGTTGAAACACCCCGTTTTTACCTCGACGGAACAGTGCACGCGCAGAAGGGAGCATGTGGGTTTCGGGAATGGTACAATACTTGGTAGAGTTCAATGTGCCATCACAGACAGTGAGATGACCAACACCAGCAGCACTCATGCATCCCCAAACCATGATACTGCCTCCACCATGCTTGACAGTAGGTACTGTACATGCTGGAGATAATGCTTCGCCTGGCCTTCTGCGTACCCTCACATTAGTAGGAGGGAGATAAAGCTGGAAACTGGACTCATCTGACCACAAAATCTTCTTCCAATTCCTGGCTGTCCAGTTCTTGTGTGCCTGGGCCCAACGACGCCGGACTAACCTCTGTCTCTCATTGATCAGGGGCTTCTTGATAGCCTTGTAGGACCTTAAGCCATGATCTAAAAGTCGGCCACGTACAGTGCGGGTGGAACACTGGACACCAGTTTGGTTTGACCACTGCTGCTGAAGCTCCTGTGATGTCATTCGGCGGTTTTGCCTGCACATGTGGATCAGGATGCGGTCATTTCTTGCTGAAGAAACCCTTGGACGCCCAGATCTTGGTTTGTCTTCCAAGCTGTTGGTTCGTCTGTATTTCTGCAGAGTGTATCCAACTGCTGAAGGACTGCATCTGCACTTCCTGGCTATCTGGCGGCAGCTGTACCCTTCCTGGCTGAGAATCTTTATCTTCAGGCGTGTTTCCTGCGTTAGGTTCCTTGTTTTAGCCATTTTTGTGTCTGAAGAACTTTCAAATGTGCTGGCTTTATGTAGACACGAAGCTTGGCAACAAAAATTGTGTCTTTTAATAAAAAGAACGACCTTCATCACTGGTACCAAAATGACCCAATACTCAAAATTTCTTATGTATTTTTATGGAACCAATCAATTTTAAGTTTTTAATGGCTTTTTTAGGATTTATTTAGTATTTTGGCTGTGACTGTACTAAAAGAAATTGCACTTGAAGACCTAAGAGTGATTCTTAATGCAATATTTCACAAATGCATGGAGTGTCCGAAAACATTTTTCCACCACTGTATATCTGAGGAGGAAGAATTTACTTTGTTTTATTTATTTATTAATGTGTTTCGGTCTTTATTTGCATTACCATACTTTCACCTTTAGGGTTAGGCATAAGAAAATAGGGGAGGAAGATTATTCCTGGTTTTGTTGGTTTGTTTTTGTCTATTTATTTGTTTTTGCATGACCAGAATAAAATGTCAGTACTGGAGTCAAGCTTAAGAGAAAATATATCTGAGGAGGAAGATTTCCTCTATCTTATTCATTTATTTATTTATTTGGTTTACCAAAATAAAGTCAAACTTTAAGTATTAGTGCCAGACATAAAAATGAATAAGTCACGTAAGAAAGATTTTTATTCATTTTAATTAATTTTTTTGTATCACTAGAATAAAGTCAAACTCTCAGTATTAGTGCCAGGCATAAAAAAATAAAATAAATCAAATAAATCAAATGACAATAAATCAAACACATGGCTGCTTCTACAGAATTCCTTATGTAGATGAATTGGTGAAATTATAGTTCAGAGTCAGCTTTGATAAAGAGAAATTATTTCTCTTTTAGTGCATAAACACAGTTTGGTAAAAAGTATAAGGACTTTAAAGCAACTGTGTCAAAAACTGCGTCTGTTCAGAAGCAGAAACCAAGCAACCTTTGAAGAGGAGTGCGTATACGTGCACACTGAAATAACTGATAATGTACAGATGTGTCGGTGGTTACAGCTGCAATATAGACAGGACGTGTTGCATCACAAGACACAATGTGATGGACCAGAGGAGGTGACTTTATTTACTCAGCATTTTAACTTTATTCTTTATTTTTTTACTTTTATTTTTTTCATGCCTGACACTAATAATTAAAGTTTGTCTTTATTCTCGTAATGCAAAACACACACACACACACACACACACACACACACACACATACACACACACACATATCCTCCTCTCATTTTTCCCTTATGCCTGGCCCTCATCTTCAGTACTCACATGATTGTTTATTTATCTCAGTTTCCACATATTAGGCAACGCTGAATTATTCATTTAGAGAAGCCTCTGTTTTTAAAACAACCATGATTTTTGTTAAAGATATTTTTGGGGCTTTTCTTTACCTTCATTAGATAGGACAGATATAGTGAGAAAGAGGGAGAAAGAGTGGTGATGGCAAGCAGCAAAGAGCTGTGGGTTGGAATCGAACCTGTGGCTGCTGTGGCAAGGACACAGCCTTTGTACATTGGACGCCTGCTCTACCAGGTGAGCTGGTCCCACACCCATGATTCTTACACAAGATTAATTAATAAATGTGTCCCACAAATCACTTGGTCTTATATTTGTTATTAATCATCTCTGACACACAATGAGGACACAACAAGAGTCAGTGTGTGTCTATCTCTGGTGGTACAGAGTTAAACCAGTGCAGTAACCAGACTGGTCTGATGGAGAGCTTTGGACACAGTGAAGCAGAGTTAAGTGACGACTTCTCTCCGCCTGCTGTGTTTTCACTGCTGTTTGCTTTTCCTCCACGGGTGACTGACAGGCAGGGCTGGCTGGTTCAGGGTTAACAAGCTTTCTTGACCTGAGCGTAGTCTCGCAGGCATAACTTAACCCTTGGCCGCATGTGTTGTCACTAACACGCATCATCAATCTAATGGCTATGTTCTTCATTAGGGTACAGAGGCTGTGACCATGTGTGGGGTGGAGGTTAGGTAATACCAGCCTGAGAGGCAGAGCGGCTCCACTCACTACAACACACCCAACAATTAGAACATGTTACTCACCAACCTGATGGATCAGATCTGTGGACGTGGCGACATCACTCGAACAGTCCTGCAGGGAAGAGAGCGGTCAGATGATCACACTTAAATATCAGTATGAACCGATTCATTTGGAAACAATACGAAAGTGGGCAAACGTTATAATCATCCATTATTAATATAAAACTAAGCTTCATGTAAGTATGGTAGGTCAAATTAAATTGATGCTTCAGTTCAAACAATATGCCGCTGTTTTCTCTCTTTGCGTAAAATGTTATTATAACCAAGAGGAATGATAAATTAAACTGCATGCATGAGCTGATGAGAGCTGTGTAGTGAAATAAACTGAATTTCCTTTAAATAAACATTTTGCCAGAAAGCAAATAAGTGTATTTCCTAAAATGTCAGAGAGTTAGATGAGAAAATCAGAACCACCCGCAGTGTTTTCTCTATAATTGTACAGGCCTATTCATGTTTTGTTTTTCTATGTTAAATATAACAGCGAATTTCCATTCATTCAGAAATCATGGTAGAAAAGAGACAGGTGATGTTAAGATTACTTGGACTGATGACACCTTGTTACGTTACGTGTAATAAAAGCAACTTCCACACTAGAATCACCACCCAGTGGTTGTATGACTCCGCCCACCAGTCCACCCTGTGGTTGTATGACTCCGCCCACCAGTCCACCCTGTGGTTGTATGACTCCGCCCACCAGTCCAGTGTCTCTGACAGTCTCCATCCATGTCAGTGAAAACATGGATGCTTCACACACAGAAGATCTATACAATCAGCACAGTTTCAAGATTAGAGTCACCAATTCAGTATCTGACCAAATGTCTCCCCTTCTGTTCCTGAGATATGACGTTAAAACATGATGATGTCACAGTCAAGCTGACCTTTGACCTTTTGACCTTCATTAATTTATCCTGTTAGACATTTGTGTCAAATTTTGCCATAATTAGCATATGAATTCTGGAGTTATGGCCATAACTGAGGTCACACTGACCTTTGACCTTCAACCACAAAATCATAATCAGTTTATTCTTTGATCCAAGTGGACGTTTGTGTCAAATTCAAAGTAATTCACTTAAGGTGTTCTTGAGATATTGTGTTTACAAGAATGAGACAGATGCAAGGTCACTTTGACCTTGAGCTCTGACCACCGAAATCCAATCAGTTCACTGATGAGTCCAAGTGAACGTTTGTGCCAAATTTGAAGAAATTTATTCTTGAGATATCCCGTTCACAAGAACGTGACAGATGGGGTTACACAGACTTGCCCTTTGACACTTGACCACAAAAATCTAATCAGTTAATTCTTCGGTCAAAGTGGATGTTTGTGCCAAATTTTAAGAGATTCCCTCAAGCTGTTCTTGAAATATCCTGCCTGAAACTGACTGCTGGTTGTAGCGTCATATTCAACAGACACATATGAGAGTTGTATTATTCTTCTCATAAACGTAACTCCCTGCCAGAATGTGCATAAGTGTATTTCTTGAAATATTTAACAACTGCTTTAAGCATCATCTGGCTCTGTGACATCTCTGCTGTTGGACTGTTCGATGAGGAACCATGTGGAGTGTGTGACTGTCAGCAGACGGTGAAATAATGACGATGACAGACTTAATAACACCAACAGGAAACTGAGAGTCTGGTTGGAGCGTTAGGCTGTTAGCTGCTCTCCACAAGCCTTTGATTTATCTGGAGCAGAGCAAACATTAGGTCGACTTTAGAAGCAGTTTGCTCCACTCAAAGCTTCACACATCTCCAGCACATCAAACGTTTCAACTGATAACTCCCATATATTTTGCCTCCAGAAACAGAGTCTGAGTGTGAAGGAAGGTTGGGATGTGGTAACAGTGGGAGTGTGTGAGGGTGTGTGAGGGTGTGAATGTGTGAGTACGGTCAGACTCTCCTGGCATGACAGACGGCACTACTGTTTGGAAGCAGAGTGTTTTTATACTCTGACTAAAGATGGAGCACAAACATATATAATGTGTGCACTATATCTTAGCATTCATTATCTGTTTAGTTCATTTGTTCAGGTTTTGTAAAAATTAAAACTCCCTTTAAATTAATGAGTCAATCGCATTAAAATTCTGTGATGAAATTGACATGTAGCTGTGCAATTTATGATTTTTCCTATGAGATAATTTTTGGCAGGGATTTATTCTTCCATCCGGTGTCACTCCCAATCCTGTTAAACACCAATGCCCTTGCCTTCAGATACCAACGCACACAAGCAGCCTTTAGCAGCTGTATGAGACACACTGGGTGGCATCAGCTTTTGATGCTACGGGCAAATACTGTATTATGAAGAGTGAGAAAGTCCGCTGGTGGGAGGAGAGGTAGATGGGTCAAAAAAAAAAAAAAAAAAAAAACAAACCTTAGAAATTTCACCCGGGAGACCGCTGTCCTGTTAGCCTGGAAATCCAGACCCAAATCTAGAAAGAGCAAATTCAAATTGTGCTCTTGCGAGAACTCTGGATTTCCAGGGTACTGTCCTTAATACTAATGTTTTGCGCTAGTATGTTTCGAAAATTATGCGAGTGACGTATGTCACATGACGTTACATTAAGATGTTTTTTTCTGAACCAAACCATCTTCTTTTGTTGCCTAAACCTCAGAATTTCTACAGGTCATCTCTTGTAGCCTTGAAACACAGAGCTGTCTACACAGATCACATTGACGTATGCACTGCTACTGTACGATTCTTAGCTGGCATTAGTTCGGCAACATTTCTGAACCCGACAATACTGTAACACACTGCAGCACGTATGTCGTCCTTTACTCAGGATGCTACGATGTCGACAGGTTTCACTCCACACACACATCAATATCAGCATTTTAAAGTCCACAGTGTTGAATCTAAAAGTGAAATAAGAAAGCAGCAGTAGCTGTAAAAGAATGTGAAGCAAAGTAAGATGAAAACGTTAAACTTCACAGACTTCTGGATGTAACAGGGCTGAAATTAATTATAATTTTAATAGAATAATCTGCAGATTATTTGCCTGAACAATTTGAAAAGTTCCTGTTTAAATTACCTAAAGTCTAAGACAACACTTTCTGATGTCTTGTTTTGTTAAGGCCAAAGCACACCAGCAATAAATGCTGTGCGTCAAAAAATATGCCCCTATTATTTTCAATGTACAAACCCACACTGGCAGCAGCTTAGTCTGGCCACCAGACAATCAGAGATCTCAGCCTTCTGATAGTCTGGGGACACTCCTTTCTAAAGTGTGTTTAACACACCGGCGAAAACAGCCGGCAACAAAGCAACGCCTCTTGCATTTTTGAAAAGGACACGCCTTCTCGGAAATGTGCGCTCCCCCTTTTCTCGTCCGCAAGGAAACAAACACACAGAGCTTGAAAATGGATGCCGAGAGATTTAACTCCGTTTTATCAAACATGTGCTCATCCGTAAAGAAAATATTTTTTTCCAGCGGATGTCTTAGTTACAACATGATTGAGCTAACTGGAGTAGTTTCATGTCGTATCCGACAACGGGAGGCTTTTAACAGATGACGTCCCCATGTTAGCTTTGCTGCTGCTGTTAGCTGTCCCTGTCAGCTGCAGCCACTGATGCTTTCTAGACATCGTGATTTCCCAAAACTGAATAAATACCACACATAGCAACACAAAACTGCTTTGCTAGCTCAATCATGTTGTAACTAAGATATCCGCTGGAAAAGATTTTTTTTTTTTTCACCGATCAATGAGTTATTACCTATTACAGACACCGCTAACGGCTAACAGGGCTAACAGCTAACGGTTAGCCCAGCTAAACGTGCACACAGAAATAGTAATGTTTGTTCAATCATTGTTTATAGACTTTACGAACATCGGATTAGTCTAAACGGTGATACAGTGATGTGAAAAATGTGATATATAGGCGATATACATAGCTAAAAGCTCTGCTGGGTTTCTACCTGGAAGTATTTGTAAACAACAAGGCGATTCCCTCTAACGTTATAGTCCGGCCGGACGGATGAGTCATGGCCTTGTAAACGATTACGTTTGTTTCTTTTAGTTGGCGAGAATGTGTCGCCGCAAACGCGACAAACATCCACTAACTTTGACAGGGTTTTCTGCGAGCACGACTGAGCCATTTTGTACCGCTACACGTGTTTCTAGTGGGACTATGTTTACAAGCACAAGAGTTCAGCGAGCCACCGAAGGACCGCCCTGCAGATTTACTATTGGTTCTGCAACGTAGGGAGTTTTTTAAACTCTTAAATTGTATCCGCCCATCTAAACACAAAATCAGCGAGAAAGTCATCAGTCTTTAGTTAAGCAAAGCGTCTAAAGACTGACTTGTGAGTCTAGCAGCGGCTAGACCCGCCAACCCACAGCACTTCAAGCCACTGTTATACTTCCAGCCTCGCTGACCTCGAAATAAAAGCATTTTCCCCACTCGCTCTCTGCTCGTACAGACTCCTGTAGCAGCTCACTCTGCTCCTACAGCAGCTCGACTCCTCACCATTCATGTATAAAGAGAATTCTGTTTCTGTCGCTGCGTTTTGAACATGACAAAGAAAGGATGAGGAGAGACTCGTTGTTGAGGTCGAGAAAAATCCCGAGCTGAACGACCCATAATCCCGTCATTAATAAGACAATGGCAAAAAAGATACTTCCTGGTGAGTCACAGCTCTAGAGATCAGCTCTTCAGGTGACAAATCAAGTTTAATCAGGGGCTGTCTACACATGATTTTAAGCTAACGCAGAGATGGAGGAAGTACAGATCTTTCAGTAGTAACTTTGCGTGGTTGTCTTTTAACAAGCAGCAGCATGACATGTCCAGTGTGTGCGAGGGGTGGCACGTAACGCAAGTCACATGACACTGCGGCGGCAACCGTGTGTTTTCAGCTTCACAGTCCAACAACTAAACACATTCTGTTTACAAAGATAAATAACAAAGACAAGCAGTAGTCCATTAGAATTGTGCTATTTAACTTAACAAATAAACTTGTCTTAAAGCATTACTGATGATCAGAACAGTAGCTGAATGATTTTCTGTTAATCGATGAATCAACTAACCCCACTACTCGGCTCTAGACTATGATGCTAATAGTAAAACCAGCTG